AAGACCCGAACGGCCTCCGAACGACCCCTTCATCAAGCCAAATTCCGGCCTTGTTTCATATAAACCCCTATATAACCCTATAATACAGCAGTAGTTTCCATTTTCTTTTCCACTGTCCCAATACTACCCCCAATATTCCCATATACCCAGAGGGGCAGCCCCGGGGGGTCGGTATTCAACTTTGTAATCATTGGTTCTGGTGCCGGTTGGAATTTGAGGTTTCCGAACCAAAAACTGACAAAAAAATACAGAGAGAGAGAGAGAGAGAGAGAGAGAGTAAGGAAGGGCTCCTCTTAAAAATCCATACATCAAAACTCTATGCTGTTCGCAACGAAGCTTGTGAAATCTACAAACCTTGAATCAAATCTGCGAAGGAAAAGCCTACATGTTCTTCCGTATAGTTTGCCTGTAAGGCACCACCCACAAAAAACATGTACAGTTCCGCAAACTAGCGTTGAAGACCATAAGCCCCCATGTTGAAGAACAGTAGTCTACAAAGGGCCCTTGTCAGGTTCCGTGTTAATTTGGAGAAGAATTTAAGGCCTCAAATCCTTGAACCCTAAATCCTTAAACCCTGAACCCTAAACCTTAACCAGGATCCCAGTCACCGTCTGGCTCAAACGCCATGCCTGTCACACCAGCGTGCGTTTTGGTTGTTTGCAGGACAGTCTGGCTGCGATAGTCCCACACCTTCACAGTCCTGTCCCAGGAAGTAGAGACCTGATTTAGGGCCTAAGGTTTTTGGAGTTCAGGTTTGTTTAGGTTTTAGGGTTCATGGTTTTGGGCCTTAGGTTTGGGGCTCAGGTTCAAGTCTCAGGGTTCCGGATTTAGGATAGGCTTAAGGCTTAAGGGTTCAGATTTTTGGGTTTAGAATATCATGGTCAGATCATGCATTACCTAACATCCGACCAGGCTGAACATGTAAATCCGCATACCAACACAAAAGGGTTTAGGGTTCAGGCCTCGTTTCAGTGGCAACAAAACTACTGCAAGTGTCAAGGGTCTAGGGTAAGGATTTAAGGCGGACAAAAAAAGCATAGCTTCTACAAAGAAACTGGGGTCCCCCCGCTACACCAATCCCCTTTGGGACTCCCAAAAAGAGATCCCTGACTTTTGGAAACCCGAAACTCTAAACCCAAAAATCACATCCGCTTGTTCTGAACCAACCCCCCCCCACCGCGACTGATGCTCCCTTAACGAGCCTGTTTCTTGTGGTTTCCCAAATTCAGGTTACCTATTTCATGAAGATCTTATGTTCATTTTGGCGTCCATATTGGGGTCACTTCATTCTTGCGATCCCTTCTTTTGGGGAAACTAGAATTTAGTTGCATATCTGAAATTGGGAGATCGGAGGGCGTTTGATGTTAGGGCAAGGGGGTTTAGGGTTTAGTGTTTAGGGATTATGTACCCTAACCCCTAATCTCCACAGAGCCGGAATGCCACTACCGGATGCTGAGGATCAGGACAGGCTTGCACGCAGGTGACGCTTGCGCGATGGCTAGGAAATCTTTCCACCTTTGCTGTCAAGGAACCGTCCCACTCCACCCAGCAAATTATCATTAATGAATTTTGCATACTGCCAATGTTGCCGGGGGGGTGTAAACCTGAAACTTGAGTCAAAGAATCCGACCCAAATCTCTGATAGCTAAACCTAATCTCTTAAATCCCGATCCCTAAAGAAACCTAAGCCTTAAACCATGATCCATCTGAACCGTTAGGGGTTTTCGGCGCGGCTTCTAATCCAGGACACCTGCGACCTAATGCCGCGGATCCAACGCGAAGCATCCACTAAGCAAACATTTCGATCATCGCCTTGGGTATAGGGCTTAGGGGTCTTCATATTGTTGATACTGATATCCCAGACCCCCTAGAGGATCCAAAAAATGGAACCTCCCAATAATTCCCTAGTCTCCCCAAGGTAGTAATGGGCTTCATTTTGGGGGGGGTCGATTTTTTTGGATCCTTGAGGGATCTGGGATTATGGTTCCTTTAAGGGGTTATAGGAGATCTATGGGCTGAGGGCTTAGAGTGTAGGGTTGACTTACCTCTGAATAGGGGTTTTAGGTTTCAGGGTTTAGGGTTTAGGGAAAAAGGGAATGGAAATGAAAATGCAAAACGATTCTATTAGTGGATATTCTATAGGACTACTATGAGGATCCATTCTTTCATTCTTTGCTAACCAAAGGGATAAGTTGTATAACTTCTGAAAAACCCTTTTTTGGTTTCATGTCCAGCTCTTCTCCATTTGATTCTCCATGATTGGGGCAATATCCCGAAACCCTTAATATAATTCCTGTAGGAGCCCTAAACCTTAAACCCCGAAACCCAAATCCGTAAACCGAAACCCAAATCCGTAAACCCTAAACCCTAAACCCTTAAACCCTTAAACCACCCTACCCTAAACCCTAAACCCTAAACCCTAAACCCCAATACAAGTAGAGTCTACGGGTTTGAAATTCACGGCGACGGGTTGAAGGATGGAGCTGAGGCTTGGAAGGGTTTAGGTTTAAGGTAGTGGGGCGGGGTTCAGGGTTTAGAATTTAAGGTTTTGGGTTCAAGGTTTAGGGTTTAGAATTTAGGGTTTAGGGTTTTCGGTTTAAATTTAGGTTTTAGCGTTTAGGGCTTAAGGCTTAAGGTTTAGAATTTAGGGTTTAGGGTTTAATGAACTTAGGATTTAGGGTCTAGGATGGTGACTCCAGAAACTTCGGGATATGAAGCTAAGGATTCAGAAGTAGGAGTTTGGGATGGGATTTAGGGTTTAGAGTTTAGGGCTTAGGGTTTGGGATTTAGGGCTTAGGGTTTAGGGCTTAGGATTCAGGATTTAGGGTTTAGGGCTTAGGGCTTGGGATTTAGAATTTAGGGTCTAGGGTTTGGGTGTTTCTAGGGTGCGGGCAGCAAGTTTACCCTTAACCCTCAACGGTGCGTGTAAGGGTCTACGAAACTGGGGGGGTTGACTTTTCAGACTTGAGTTACATGATGTAGGGGTTTCAAACCCTAAACCCTAAACCCTAAACCTTAAACCGCAAATGGGGATCCCTTTATGGGAGTCCCTGTAATCCCTTTACCGAGAAAAGATGTTGGGGTAGATCTTGGGATTCCATGCCTGGAAACTACCACTTTACAGTTTAGGGTTTAGGGTTTAGGGTTTAGGGTTAGGGCTGGGAGCTTGAAATTCAAACCCTAAACCCTTCTGTGCTTGGGGCTGGAGATTCTTTAGGTCAGGCCCTCACTCACTATGGGGTTGCTGTTTAGGAACTTATTCTGAGTTACCATAATATGAGCATATAATAAAGAATGGGGCTTCCCCAATACCTTAACTTAATTTAATTGCTTCACATCAACCAAGCCTCCTAGTGAAGATAGGAAAAGTGGGAATTGCATCAGGACCCTTCTAGCTAATAGTCCTAGTGAATCACTATTGCGAGATTTGCAGGCTCATCCTCGCAGCTCGGAGCGATAGAAAAAAGTCAAGTATGCGGGATCTCAAGAAATCTGCAAGACTTAAACCACCCTACTTGCACAGTCATGGGGACTTAGCAGCTGAGTTTTTAGTGGGGATAGCCGGGGTGCTTATAGTGGTTATAAGTATAATCACTTAGTTGTCCTGACCCTCCAGGTAGATGTAGGAACCCAAAACGGGGCCCGTCACGCTCGGACACTCCCACATGAGCTCTAGCATCCCACTGACTAACCCCAATTGTAGTCCCTTCGATAGTCCCTTGTATAACCCCTTCTAAGGAGTTTAGATTATAGCTCACATGCTCTGTGGACAACTTGTGTTGCTATGATGGGGCAGGGGGTTGGCCAGCAGGGACGGCGCTTCATTGCGAAGTTGATAGCGTATGACGTATCACTGACTGGTCACGTCCTTCAGTCGAAAGATACCCTTTCCAAAATAAATAAGAGCGATAGTCTCAACTCCTAGCATCCCCCTCAATAACCCATTTAAAAATCTGCCAGCCTTTCAGAAGTTTAGACTATAGCTCACATGGAGCCCCGCTGTAGCAGCCAGTCTTCATGAGCACCCTTCTGGGCTTCCATGTTTGTTTGGGGGAGTTCCTAATAACAGTAAAACAAGGAACGAAAGTACTAAATAGTAATAATAATATTGATAAGTCTGTTTAGGGTTTAGGGCAATAAAAATAACAGTAATGATAACAGCACTAATAAGAATCATAAGATCCATTCGCAAACAAGAACCCTAACCTCAACCCTAATCCGAGGCTCGGATCCTTGGGCCTAAACCCTAAACCCTAAACCCTAAACCTGGAGTCCCTTTTGTCCCTACAAGGGCGGGTTTCCGCAAATTGGGTCCCTCCACGATTTTTTCAGGTTTAGGGTTTAGGGTTTAGAGTTTAGGGTTTAGTGATGAGGTATCCATTTCCAGGACCAAGGAAAGGGACCCTAACTTTTCACAAAATGCTTCTGATTTTGGCAAGGCACCACCACTGAAAAGAAACTTAGACCGCTCGAAGGAAACTGACCTGACTGCGCTGCCCACGTGAGCTTGCACATCCGTGCCTGCCCAGTCCAGCGTCGCCAGATTCAGCAAGCCGATGCGTCCTGGTTTAAGCTTTAGGGTTTAGGGTTTTTGTTGTGGTATCTCTTCTCCAATAAGGTTTCAGGTCTAGGGTTTAGGGTTTAGGGTGTTTTTTGAAACCTTTTCTCCAAGGTTGTGGGCTTAGGCTTCAGTCTTTTTGTGGGGCCTTTTCTCCAGAATTTAGCTCTTAGGGCTGAGGCAGAAAAAGGTGGCTATAGAGGGGATTATACAAGGGATTATAGCGGTTACTGCGGGGGGCACTGGGAGCTGGATGTAGAACCCTCCGACTGAATATCATGATGCCAGAGTCCCGGAATCTTATATAGCCAGCCTTGATTATTCTGAAGTCTGCCTGATAAGGAGTCAACCGGTTTGGGCTGGTATCTTTGGGCTGGTATCTCTGGGCTGAAGCAGAATGTTTGCCTTCGAGCCCTAAACCCTGAACCCCAAATCCTAAACCCTAAACCCCGAACGCTAAACCCCTAAACCCGCCTGAACTTCGGCCACAGGCCAGCATTTGACCGTCGGGACTAGCACCTAAGGCTGTGATGGGGCCACCGTAAGGCACTGCTGAGATGCGACGAATCTTGCTCGGCCGCTCCTCCAACTGATGCATGCTCTGCATGCCACAAAACAAACACATCAAAGAGCGAAGCCAGGGCATGAGAAAAGTAGCAGACGCAATAGCAGCAGCCTAGCGGTACTGGCAGCGGTCGTGTTGTTTTACAGGCGGCGGCGGTAGCAGCGGCAGCGGCGGGGCTGTCGGTGTGGTGGTTGTAGAGGTGGCGTCGGCATGTGGCAGGGGTAGTGATGTATTGTATCGCAACAATGGCAGCTTGAGGCAACTTTTAGCTAAACTAGATTATATGAGAACCTTGCAACGCCCTCTCTGCAGCCCGTCCTCTGCATTGCCATTCCTAGGAGCGTACGGAGCTATCTCTCGTTCGATCCTTCCCTGTCGCAGATCCCAAACAACCAGCTTCCCAGAAATCCCACCGGTGACCAGTCGGTTGCCATCGGGTAGAAAGCGTATTAAACCTCCCTGAGTCGTCAGTGTCATGTCCAGTTGGTTGGGCGGTTCCTGCGGATTCCGTAGGTCCCAGAGAAGGATCTGGCCATCCAGGGTGCAGACACACGCCCTATCCTTGAAGGAATCCAGAGAGCTCGGGGCAGCTGCTCCCCCTGCTAAGCCTGCAAGGGAGCCTTGGGCACTGAGCCCATCTCCCACTTTCCAGAGCTTCACTGTGGACTTTGAGGAGCTCGTAAGCACGGTCTCCCCATTGAATGAGACGCAAAGGATCGGGAGCTTCTTCCTATGGAGCTCGTCATCGGTGCATTTTGCAGATATATCCCACTGCATTCTCGAGGCGCCATCGGCCATTAAGCGAAGCCCCCTCGGCCGTCCCCTCGAGTGCTACAAAACTTCCCCATGAGCCAACTCTACGACAAGAAGCGCCTGACAAAAGATCTGAATAATTCCTTCAAAGTTTGGGTCCCCTGCCTTTTGAAAAGCGCCAACAGGGAACCCAACGTATTTGCGGCACTTGGCCTAGTCGCCCTCATTGTACCAATCCTGCCGAGTAGCTGCCACATCACAGCAAACATGACACTCAGTTCGCATGCGCGCCCCCCTCTGTGGAGACGTACATGTGGGAACAAGGGAATATTAGCCCTAGACAGTACCTATATAATATAGATAGGGAATAAGGGAATAGTATCCCTATGTAATACCCGTAGTATCACCTTCACTTGACACTGATTGTTGCTCCCCAGCAGGGTGCTCAAGGCCGTGGCAGTAGTGGTGTCACATCTGGCGAAGTTAGGTTCCTGCCAGGGGTTTTAGAGGGTTTAAGGGTTAGGGTGTATACAAAACCAAGGGTGCAAAGGCAAGACGATTAGGGTTTAGGGTTTAGGGAGATTAGGGTAATAACTACCTTGCGGTCCATTAGCCTTTCCCAATTTGGGTATGAAACCGTTTAGCTCACAAGGTAGGATCTTGGTCTTGAGGTCTGAGATGTATGGTGTACGGCGTGAGGCTAGCCTTCCTCGGACCCTGTAAAGATTACTTCCGACAGTCTGCTAGAGTTGTGTGGAGCCCACACCCTCAAAGTCTAAATCCTAAACCCTAGACCCTACCCTCCCTCAAGCTTGGCTGGACCCCTGCACAGATACAACACGATTTGAAAACGGCAGTGGTGTTTGCAGTCCTTTTACTGATCCGTAAACCAGTCTAGACTCTAAACCCTAAACCCTAAGCAGTCCTTGTGGCTGATCCGTAAACTACTCTAAACCCTAAACCCTAAACCCTCAACCAACACCAGGAAGTCAGGTCATCGCCTCTCTACCATCGGTGTAGTGCAGAACTGCTGCCTGTTAGGCCTCACAGCTAGGATTGTCGGCTTAGGGTTTAGAGGCTTCTCCGGAAGCCTGGAAGAACATGAGGGTCGCGGTTTAGGGTTTAGGATTTAGGTTTCAGGGTTTAGGATCTACGGTTTAGGATTTACGGTTTGAGGTTTAACCCTGAACTGTTATCTGTGAAGCCTGTGAAAAGAAAATGAAAAAATATCCAAAAAATTCTTGCACCCAATGGCCAAAGAATGCTTGTTCAAGGGTGCGACGTTTACAGGTGCCAGGTGAACCGTAGACAGAAACATTAATCCTAACTGTACAATCCTTATCCCGAACCTCACAAGCTGAACTCCAAACACCACATCCTAAGTCGAATCCTGAAGGCCCAATTTCAGTGTTTAGGGTTGAGGGCTGAAAGTTTCTGATCTGTCAACCCACCCTACTCCACCATGCCTAAACCCTCAAACCCACACCTCTATACCCTAAACCCTTAATCCTATTCCTCCATTCCCTACTGCCGCCGGCAAAACCACCACCAAGTCAACCGCATCCTGTTGATGGAGGAAGTGTCTTAGGAGGTAGAATTCTTTAGGGCCCTAAATGGTGCAAGATTTGGTAATTTCGCGGACCCCAATATGAACCCGCGAATACTAGCATCCTTATTCTGGGGACCCTCAGAAAAGCAACCTAATTTTGGGAAACCCTCATCGCTGTAAAGCAGTATAAGCCTCTATAGAATCCCAGTTTCCATTTAATTTTCGATGTTCGTTTCGATTTGATTCTCCAGTATAAAGGTGATATCCCTAAACCCTAATCCCTAAACCGTCATCCCTAAACCCGCTAAACCCTAAACCTCCCAAAACCTGAACCCTGAACCCTCCATCAACAGTCCCCACCCGGGGCCGCCGCGATGGCGTCTGCAAGCAAGGCGTCTGCTGATCCGGGATGCCAAGGTGTTTGATGGCAGCCTCTCGGGCAGATAAGCCATGATCAGTTATGTAGAGTTTGAGGTGTAGGGTTCAGGGTCTAGGGTTTAGGGTTTGGGGTGGGTCTTCGGGGTGAAGGAGGAAATCCCAGCACATAGGTCCTTCATGACATTGTAACTCCTACGGTATAGGGTATATAAGGTGGTGCAAAACTTCCTCCATCCACATTAGGGACTCTACAGTCGGGGTAGATGGAGATTCCGGCTCCCCCTTAAGTATTGCATGAAGACAGGATTCTTCAGAAACACCTACATGGGTATGCCAGCGTGGAGATGAGCAAGTCTCGCTCCAAACTTCCGAACTCTTGCCACAGAACGGAGCCTCTCCCACGTGATTTAGGAGGACCCCTCACCCTGTAAGAGTGGTATAACAGGAATATAAGAGGCCCTAATATAATCCTTATTATCCCGTATTTTCCTCTGCGCAAGGCTGTGTCCATAGCCTATCAGCGCCGACGGTTCTGTCCAAACAAGGTTTTCTACTACGTGGAATTATGAACACCTTGACGGCTAGTTCTATTCCAATATATTCTATCTTGAGCACAGTGGCGACCTTTGCGGTATAAGAGGAGTTGTCCATCCGGACTACGCCGCTTGTGGAGTGTACATACAAAACTTCCTGAGTGTTTGGGAGTTGGAAAAAGGCATTGTGAATGTCTGAGTGGTGGGGTGCTGAGTCAGAGGCGACAAAATCGATACAGTTGGAGGATTCGATCATGCATGATTTTCACCAGTGGAGACGGGGCCTACCAACCCGGTTAGGCCCAGATATAAATCTGTTCCTTATAGTCACTATTACTGGCTGGGGGGTCCACCTAACACATGATCATGCTTGGTCAGATATATAAAAGGTCCTGGATGAATGATTCTCATCCCTTGTAATCCTCTTCCACAGAAACATTGAATCCCATCTACACATCTTCTTGAGTGCTAACCTCAACCCTACGGAATCTCTACAGAACCTCTCTATAACCTCTATATCCCCTCTAAACCCTAAACCCTAAACCCGGTAGCCATTAAACCCTGAAGCAAACCGTGCGGTTGCCTCGTAGTGAAACTCTGAAGGCTTTCCGCAGGCACCTACACAGCAATACCAGGTTTAGGGGTTTGGGGATCTAGGGTGTAGAGTTTAGGGTTTAGGGGGCACCCTAAAATCCTTGAAGTATATGAGCTACAGCCTAAACTCCTCGTAGCCCGCAAAAGTAACTTCCAAAATACTGCCCTATATACTTAATCCCCTTATAACCCCCTTGAAGGAGCTTGGGCTACAGTTCATGTGAACTACAGGCAATATTTGCTATTGAATTTAATGGACGTGGGTTCCTTATTAGGGACTATGTTAGGGAACATACTAAACTTATACACTATGGACAATAGATATGGTAGTTTCCCAAAATATGGGGACCCCAATATAAACCCCAAAATACTATAGTCCTTATTATGGGGACCCCCAAAATGGTACCCCTACTTTTGGGAAACCCCCATATGGGGATTATGATACATGGGCTATGGGGGCTCCTATCGGTCATCTTAGAAGGACGCCTTGAGAGCCTCCCACACGTGTACAATACATGGTAGTTTCCCAAAATTAGGGGTACCATTTTCAGGGTCCCTATAGTAAGGATTGGAATATTTTGGGGTCTATATTGGGGTCCCCCTATTTAGGGAAACTACCACATGGAGACAGCTCCAAAGTGCGTAGTCGTGAGACTGCCCAATATCATAAACGGGCATAGTACAAACTTAGGGTTGTAGGTTGAAGAAACGTGGTCTAGGGTGCACTGACGAAGGGTTTACTATAAAGCTCAGGTCCAGTGGTCAGGTCTCATGTATTCGGTCACCAAGATTCCACATGAGCCCGACAGACGCACACAAACCCATTGTAAAACTCTGTCTCACTTGACTTGAATGAGGTGTAAACGAATGCGATCATGTAAGGCCTCTGACGGAATGATGACGTAGAAATCTGCGTTCCAGCACTTCTCTGAGATTCCATGGACTCTGTTAGCAAAGTCTGCGCGCAACTGTGCAGCCACAGCTGCTGGTGGTCATCCCTAGACCCGAAACTTCATCCCAAAGGCATTGCCTACCTACTTCTTCAGCACTACACCCAAGATTCCACCCGTGAATCAGTGCCTGCGGCTGTTCTGCAATCTCCGCCAGGATTTGGTGACTCCTCCCCGGCAACGAGAGTTTAAGGCTTCGAGTTTGGGGTTCAGGGCTTGCAGTACTGTAGGTTCGGGTTCTAGCGTCATTCATTCCTGTCGCTATGATGGATTCTACCAGCATTGCTCTTGCTGGCATGGCAACGTATAGCTACCCATATTGCTTGCCCAAAGCTTTCTCTCTCTCTCCCAGACAAAAACGCCTTCGATTGTTATCTTACTCTACTGTGGCTCCTCCCATCTGCTGGATCTGCAATGTGTTGCTTCTACTAATGGTAAAGCCGCGTGAAGCCTGAGAGCTACACTACTCCAAGGCCCCTAGGCCATATGGTGCCGCCGCCCTCCATCAACCCTAAACCCCTAAACCCTAAACCCTAAACCCCTAAACCCTGATCTTTCAAGCCCCTGAAGGAGCACCAGGAGTCGAATGCAAAGTCGAAAATTTACAACGTAATGTCATCCCCATATCCCTTGATACCTTTGGCATATTGTAGCCCCCCAAATCCTACTAGTTCCCATGCGCGTTTTCACAAATATCCTCTATGTAGGTGCAAGATGTGCAACACAATGGTACGACGATGTACCACCAAAACCCATTCAGGCTCGTACAGTCGTCCCTGCAAACCCCGTCAAATCTCAGCTTCCCTTTCCTATTTTGCATATAGTCTGAATATCCGTGATAAAGCCTTAACACGGTCAAGGCGCAAGATTTACGACTATCCCTTTGAAACCCTTACTTACAGTGTGGTAGTATGATAAACTACCACAAGTCTTACTCTAATTATTCTGGTAACCCTAAGCTCTAAACCCCACACCCTCAATCCTAGACCGTAAGCCCATACAAGTTAGGCTTTGCCAGATGTGTCCTTCAACAGCATCCTTGTGGCAGAACCCCCCCAGATTTAGAACCCTATTAGGCCTTATTAAGCCCTATATAATCCTTATTAGCTCCTTAAACCCTGGGGAGGATACCTTTGGGGGGGTACTATTGTAATCCCTTATTCTGGTTATATTGGGATAATGGAAAAGAAAATGGAAACTATAGGGGTTATGAGGATTCTATAGGGTTTATATGAGCTGTAGTCTAAACTCCTAGCATCCCCCTTAATATCCCCTATAGTAGTCCCCTAAAAAAATCCCCTATATAACCCCGTTTAAGGAGTTTAGACTATAGTACATATAGGGATTATACTATTGTAATCCCTTACTTGTGGCAGAAGCGGCTCCCGCCTTCGCTTCCCCAGCTGCGCGCGAGCCTGGTGAGACTGCGGTTTTAGGGTTTAGAGATTAGGCTTTAGGGTTTAGGGGTTTAGAGATTAGGCTTTAGGGTTTGAGGGTTTAGGGATTTGGCTTTAGGGTTTGGTTTGGGGCTTTAGGGTTTGGGGGTTTAGGGTTTGGGGATTTAGGGTTTGGGAGTTTAGGGTTTGGGGGTTTAGGGTTTAGGGGGGATTAGGGTCTAGGATTTGGGGGTTTAGTGGGGACTGGAAGAATGGGCAAGAAAATGACAACAATTATATCATGTAGGGTTCAGGGTGGGTGAATAGGAATTGGAGGGATTGGAACAGGTCCCCGGTGTAAGATTTAGGCATCATGGGGTCAGCAGGGAATGGAGAACTGGTCAAGAAAATGAAAACCACTGTCTTCTGAAGGATTTAGTAAGGAGTTTCTCAAGAAAGTAGGCCCGAACCCGAAAACCCTTACCCTTGACCCCCGAAAACTTAAACCCTTAACCCTCAACCCTAAAACCAAATGCCCATACCCCAGAGGTGCTCGAGAGTTTCATGCTGAATCCCATACCTCTGAGTTTGGGGTTTGGGGTTAGGCCCCCCCCAGCTTGCCCTTGTTTTGTATTACTTGTAATCAAAGCTATTTGAGGCAGGGGGAACCTAGGGGGGTTAGGGTAGCAGAGGGTGGACCATGATATAAATGAGGCGGTTTCCAAGAATTGCGGATCCCTCCATGGAGGTCCCTAGAAGAAAGAGTTTTCCTATTTGGGCGACTTTGGGACCACCAATTTAGGAACTGACCATAACTTTTTCAAATCGCATTGCATGTGAGATTCTTTGCTGTAACAAGATCCCATGCGATTCCCAGAAGACCTCCATACCGAGAGGCTTCAGGAGGGAACCTTAAAGGGGTACGCGTTGGGTACTTCCCCCACCCAGCAACAGTCTATATTCGGGGTCCTATTAAGGGCTGTATATAAACATATTACAATTATTTTCAAACTGTTACTGGGTGGGGGCAGTATCCAAGGTAGGCGGCATAGAAGATAATGGGTCTAGGGGTCTCTTAGGGGTTCCTCATCATAATGGTTGATTGATATATCGGTATCGAACGCCTGTGGGAGAAAGCTTAGAATTTTAGGGTTTAGTGTTTGGCATGCAATGCTGTTGTTAAAGGCCATTCCTCTGCTGCGATGGGCTTCCAACATGCAACGCCAGCAGCAATCTGCAAACCTCCCTAGACACTGAATCAAAAATCCTAAGCCTTGAGCCCTCAGCCGTGAAGACTGTGGCGCACATTGCCCCCCAAACCCTAAACCCTAAACCCTAAATCCTAAACCCCTAAACCTTAACCCTAAACCCCTTAAACCCAAGGAAAAACATGTAGCTTGATCCTGGAGGTGGATCCCAGAGAGGAAGGCATCATGCCACATGCGGTTTCTAAGAGCTAGGCGTCCCCCATCGGGAGGTCCTATACTAAGGTTTAGGGTTTAGGGTTTAGGGTACTAAGGTTTAGGGTTTAGGGCTTATTTATACTTAAGATCCTGGTTCACTACTGGAGCTGTAGTCTGAACTCCTAGTATCCCTCCTTAGTAACCCCTGTAATACTCCCCTGTGTAGTCCCCTATATAACCCCCTTTAAGGAGTTTAGACTACAGCTCATTTGGGTCTCCTGCTTCAGAGACAAAGCATATTTCTCTTTCCCTACAATCAGGATTGTTGCATCTTCCGGTTGTACGGGGCCTCTTTTTGGCGATTCCCGCCTTTGTGAAGCCACTTAAAATTTAGGCCCATAATGTTGAAACTGGGCATCTGCAAAAAGGATGGGCTATGCCACTGGTGCTTGAACGGGGAAATAATAACTCAATTGAGCTAGTTTTTCAGATGATTACATGAATGCCCACCCCTCCACTATAAACCCTAAACCCTAACCC